GTTGACCAGGATGGTCTCGATCTCTTGACCTCGTGATCCACCCGCCTCGGCCTCCCAAAGTGCTGGGATTACAGGCTTGAGCCACCGCGCCCGGCCGGTATTGTATTTTTTATTGCAATGTTTGTGTGTTCCTTGCTGGTATAAATGAATTGATTTTATGTGTTTCTCTTCTATCCTGCGGACTTTTTGAATTCTTTACTTCTAGAAGGATTTTTCTGTGTGTATGCAGTTTTTTGTAGATTCCTTATTTCTACACAGACAGTCGTATGCAAATGGGATAGTTTTTCTTCCTTTTATGATCTGCATGGCTTTTATTTCCTTTTTTTTTTTTTTTTTTGCCTTGTTGGGTTTTTTTTTTTTTTTTTTTTTTTTTTTGCCTTGTTGGGACTCCTTGCAGGGACTCCTAATTACTGCCAGGTAGGAGTAGAATTCCAGGTTCCGCGCTTGACGTGGTTGACACCAGATGATGGGGGTTCCTGCATCCCCCACTAAGCATCCACGAATGCCTCCCTACCTGGAAGGAACAAGAGTGCCATGTCATTCATTGCACCCCACATGACTCATTCTGACACCACTTCAAGAAGGGTGTGAGGGGCATCTGTTCACTACCAAGTGTGGGTACAAGTCCAAGCTCCCACCTGGTCTCCACTTACATTGTGGGATGAGGGCCTCCTTACCGCCCAGCAAGGATGAAACTGCTGCCTACTCGGCCTTCTCTGGTATCACTGGCAGGGGTGTTGGGGTGCATGGCCCAGCCTGGTGAGGGTACAGCTGGGGCTCCTGAGGCCCTTGTTGACACACAGCTGGGAGTGGAGCTACAGTGCTCTCTCTCGTGTTTATTTCCTACAATTTTCCTGTCATGCCAGTCCTTCCCCTATCCTGGTCCTTTGGCTAAAAAGCAGGCTTTGGGGGACTTTTTTTGTCCTTACCATTGACATTTCTGGGTTGTTGATTTCGTGGGCTCCAAATGTGGCATATATGAAGCAAAAAGAAAACCCAGGCAGCCTGTGTAACATGGCAAAACCTTGTCTGTACAAAAAAATACGAAAATTAGCCAGGTGTGGTGGCATACACCTATAGTTCCAGCTACTTGGGAGGCTGAAAGGGGAGATTCGCTTGAGCCCAGGAGATCAACGGCACAGTGACCTGTGATCATGCCACTGCACTGCAGCCTGGGTGACAAGAGTAAAACTCCTTCTCAAAAAAAAAAAAAAAGGTGATGGACTGGCTATTCATATGGTGCCTTGACCTCACAGGGAGAGAAGTTCTGAGAACTGTGATTAGGAGAGACTTTAAAGAGTCCTCTAGAACCTCCACACACCTAAGTGATGGAGGCTTCCTAGGTGCCCAGCTTCCTGAAGAGGCTGGTTGGCCTTGTGCCTTTTGTCTTCATGGAGAGGTTGGGAGCAGAGGCAAGCTGCCCCTGAGCCCCCTTGGAATCTAAGCCTGCAAGTCGCTGTGGTTGGCAGAGGCCTTTTTGTTTCATGACAGCTACACATTCTGGGGAGCCACTCCTTGGGAGCTTGTGGCAGGGTTACCAGGCATTCACCCCATGTCTCCTGAAACAGGAGGACCATGACATCATGGAAGCTGATCTGGACAAAGATGAACTGATCCAGCCCCAGCTTGGAGAACTCTCAGGAGAGAAGCTTCTGACCACAGAGTACCTGGGGGTAAGTGCCACACGAAGGGTGGGGATCCTGAAACAGAAAGGCCAGATGGACGTTGATGGGTTTCGTGTTTTCAGAGACACAGAGGGCTTAGTTTGGTTTGTTACCATACTGTGTTGATGAGAAGGTCCATGTTAGCCAGCCTGCTTTCAGTGGCCCTGAAGTGCACTGTGGCCCTAGCTACCTATCACAAGTAGGCAGGTGTACAGAAGGGAGATTGGGGAAAGATAGAGCTAGAAGGCATATGCCAGGGGCCTTTGGAACATCAGAAGATGTACCCCACCTCCCTAGTCATCGCCTACCATCCCACTTTTTCACGTCTGCATGCCTTATGTATTGGAAGGCAATACTGCGGTAGACTTGCAAGTCATTGGCCCAAAGGCGTTGGCTGAAGCCATCAGAGCCCATGAGGTTACCACAGTGTAGGTCAGCAAGGAGGGGCATTCCAGTAGTTAGGAGTGGGAGAAAGGAGGGGCCCCCAAGAAGGCCAGCAAGTGAGTAGTCACAGGCTCCTAAGGAGAACTGAAGAAGATCATGGGAACAGAAGGGAGGGTCTTTCAGGATGGAGCCGGTGGTCAGTCCAAGCATCCAAGAGGCCTGTGGTGTCATCACCTGGGATGGGGCCTTAAGCTGACCTCTGAGAGCTCAGATGATCAGCCAGCTCCAGAACCACTGGCTTACGACCCACCAGCTAAATAGGGCAGAGTATGATGTGAGTCAGGAAAGCAGCCACTCCTCAGGAGAGGATAGCAGTGCCAGGGCCCACAGGTGTCTCAGAGAGCAGATGGGGTGGCCAGGTGGCAAAGGTGGGATGCTGGAGAGTAAGGGTTTGGAAGGGAGGAACAATTGCCAGAAACCAGGACCAACCCAGACTGAAACCCTGTGTGGGACTGCTGAGCACATAGGGTAGAAGAGTCACTAAAAGAGGCTCCTAGGCCGTATATGGTGGCTCACGCCTATAATCCCAGCACTTTGGGAGGCCGAGGCGGGCGAATCA